AAAATTTAGGAGATTCCTGTAACATATTCTTATTTTATGTTGATAACACTGGAATTGCCCCACTTGAAAGAGAACAATATGTGTCCAGCAGAAAGTTTCCGTTGGGCGTGAGCATTATAACATGAAGGGTCGTCGTGCCTTGTGTCAAGCTGTTAGTCGCCGGCTTCACACCTCGGTGGCCGGTGTTCGAATCGAGGTCAGTTTGTATGGGATTTGTGGTGGACTAAAAATAATGAGGTAAGTTTCTCCAAATATTTCGTCACCCTTCGCCAATTCTCTCCATACTCATATATATCATTATGCGGGGCTGGTAGGATAGGCCCTCTAGTGGTCGGCGTACCAAGTGGACTCAGTCTCGCCCTACCTCAAGAATCAAACAGAAAGTTAAATTATAAAGTGAAAAGCAAGAGATTAGAGGAGAATAGAAAGTCGATATAGAGAAGCAAAATATATCGTCTGGCTGGCTTTTAAGCCAGCTGCTTGAAACATGGGAAGGCTTCTCCGAAAAGCTAGGCTGGCCATTAGGGTCATGCTGAGCGGCCGTCCATAAGCACACCTGATGATGTGGATGAAGCCATACAGACATCGCTGGTGAGTCCTGAAATGATCTTGCGACCTCCCTCACAACAAATGGATCAGAGCTGAAGCACAATGAGAAGAATATACTGATCGGACTTCCAAGTTATCTCAGTTCGGGATACACACAATTTTGTGTTTTTCGACCTGTTACCAGGTTTTCTTGAGAAATATACAGACATTTTCAAAGTTACTGGCTCTCTGATGAAGCCCGCCATCATTGAGACGGTTATGTTAACAAACATATTCACTACCACTGGGCTCCTCAACACAATGAGCTTACTGCTGTCACACGTAGACGGGTTACAGTACACTTTCCGTATTCTGACTTGTGTTTGTTGAGGACTTGGTGAGTTCTGAGGTTTACCTTTAGGTTTTGCAGAATTACTTTGTTTTTCTCACGGAGTATAGCGTCGATATCGATAGGGCCTCGTTCCAGCAAGATGGCGCCATACATCTTACATCCGGTATTTGTTCAATTTTTGAAGGGAACATTTGGAAACAAACATATTTCCTCGTGTTCATAATGAAAGGTTAGAGTGAACACCATTGCCACTAGATTTAAACCCACGTGACACTGACTTTGAAGACTTTTGATGGTAAATTGCAACACAAATATAAACACTTACCTACACACAACTGCAGATACGAAAGAGGCACTATAGCTAGTCGGTTTTAAATAACCACAGAAACAATGTGGGCTGTACTATAGAATTTCATCATTAATTCAACACATTATTTCACAGAAAGGGGGACATATTTAATACTGAGTGCTGTGTTGCTTGTATGTGTTGCCACTTTGAATACCAAAATAATGAGATTTGGAAAGGTATTCTTAATTTTATGACGAAATTAAACTATTCGATGAATAAATATCGACATATTCTTTATCTTTAGTCAGGGGGTCCAGTTCTCCTTCCTCTCTCTTCTTGCTGCTAGAATCTCTTTCCTTGAAGTTTGTTATTGAATTCTGTTTATTGTCATTACTCTGATATCCTTGTTCCTACTTTTAATATCTCCATTAACTCAAGTCGTTCATCTTTTTCCTTTCATCTTATTCCGTTATAACCGTCCGATATAAATCTTTCCTGAAGTTTATGGGTGTAAATACTTTATTTGAAATGGCTACCATCTTCTCGCACAAATTAATCCTCAATTATAAGCGGTCGGATTCTCTTGAGCACGTCTCAGAAGTAACATTCAGTCACCGTCACTTCTTTAAAAATTTGGAATTTCACTGTGGAAATCTGTTTATGACTGTTATTGAATTGGTTCGGTCCACATCTGTTACCAAATTTCCAGTAGTCTTCCTCCTGTGAAGTATAATGATTATTCAGATACCGTGAAATTGTCTGCTACACCCCCTACGTTACCCAGAACACGTTCTCCTAGAGACTAAAACAATGGCAGGAAAACAGCTCTAATCCATTAAGGATTTTGCCCCACCACCTCTCCTAGATGGAAATGAATGTTGGATCGGAAAGAGACACCATCAGAGATACCCGAGATCAGTAAGTTCTCATATAGGTCCGTTCATAATATGAAAAAAAAAAGAAAAGAAATGACCGAAAATATGGTCAAGTACAAAACAAAATAAATGGACACAGAAAAATTGAATAAATAATTTTGACAGTATAAGAGATGAAAGGACACGAAAACACATTAGGCAGAATATGCCACAAGGAGACCCAAACTAAGGAAGAACTTGGAAGAGAGTCTAAACAGACACGATTGCCTGTAAATGAGGAGGAGGAGACGGAATAAGAAGACTGAACTCATACTTACTATCCCACGACATTTCATTCCAATCAGAATGTTTCTTGTTTACATGGGCCTACTTCAAACTGAAATATGAGAGCCATACGTTACCAATGACGCATTTCTAAGCTTCCAAATATGATCACTGGTCATTTCCTACATTCCAAGTAAAAGAGAATATATGGTCATTCAAGAGTGAGAATAGGAATAATTTCAGAGAGTAAACTAAACTAACGCCGGTCACGGTAGCCGAGCGGTCTAAGGCATGTACTGTCTTCGCTCGCTTGGAAACCGAGATCGTGGGTTCGAATCCAACTCAGGGCATGGATGTTTAGTTTGTGTGTGTGCGGTTTTCTGTGTTTGTGTACAGGTAGAGGCCTTGCGACGAGCTGATCACCCGCCCAAGGAGTCCTACCGAATGTGTAAGATCTAGAGAAACCGAAGTGAACGGAGAAGTTCATGGAGGTAGGCCTAGGCCCACTGGGGCTGTAGTCCCAAGGGAAAAAACTAAACTAACAGAATAATTGGACTAACATAATTATTGGCAAATACAGTTTTTCCATTCGAGAAGAATCTATGAAGTAATTTACCTGCAATCCGAACGCACTTGACTACACAGACTAGACCTGGGTGAGGGAATAGCAGGTACATGACTTGTTTCGTTTTCCGGTCTGAAGGTTTTCCTTCCTTCGACACTTTCTGGAAATATGAATCTGGTGGCTACCTGCATTCTTATATCTTCCCGTTTCATTAGGAGTGCATTAGTAACCTTCTTAATTCCTTACAGGCTGTAGTGGACTGGATACTCACCTAGAAGTCCAACTAAGCCTCTACATTCGCGACATTGTGCTGAAGGGAAGACGATTTACCCAGTCTTCTCTAAGAAAAATATCTTCATTATGGCGTCGGGAATGGAGATCAAGAGTCTCAGTAACAAAATGTAGAGTGCAAGTTGTTACTTTCCGTGGTATAACTCTGCCCAAGCGAAAACAATGTATAATGAAGTTCATCAGGAATCAGAAAGCGTTTTGCGATTTAAATTTAAGAAGTGAGATGGACAGAAACGTAGGGCAATGCACAACTCAGAATCAAAGAGCTGAAGCACAACAGAGTCAGCTCTGAGCAGTTTAGCAGGTAAGTTGAGGTGGTTACAGCATGATACTAATTCAGAACTCTGAATCAAGCAATATGAAATACAACAGTGTCTGCTCTGAGAGGCTTAGAGTGCGAAGCGAGATGGTTACAACATGACACTGCTTCAGAACATTGAATCAAGCAATATGAAAAACAACAGAGTCTTCTCTGAGAAGCTAGGGTTGCGAAGCGAAATGGTTACAACATGACACTACTTCAGAACACGGAATCAAGCAATATGAAAAACAACAGAGTCTGCTCTGAGAAGCTAGGGTTGCGAAGCGAAATGGTTACAACATGCCACTACTTCAGAACACGGAATCAAGCAATATGAAAAACAACAGAGTCTGCTCTGAGAAGCTTGGAGTGCGAAACGAGATGGTTACAACATGACACTACTTCAGAACACTGAATCAAGCAATATGAAAAACAACAGAGTCTGCTCTGAGAAGCTTGGAGTGCGAAACGAGATGGTTACAACATGACACTACTTCAGAACACTGAATCAAGCAATATGAAAAACAACAGGGTCTGCTCTGAGAAGCTAGTGTTGCGAAGCGAGATGGTTACAACATGACACTACTTCAGAACACTGAATCAAGCAATATGAAACACAACAGATTCTGCTCTGAGAAGCTAGTGTTGCGAAGCGAGAGGTTACATGACACTACTTCAAAACACTGAATCAAGCAATATGAAACACAACAGATTCTGCTCTGAGAAGCTAGTGTTGCGAAGCGAGATGGTTACAACATGACACTACTTCAGAACACTGAATCAAACTATATAAAATACAACAGACTCTGCTCTGAAAAGCTTGGAGTGCGAAGCGAGATGGTTACAGCATGACACTAATTCAGAACCCTGAATCAAGCAATATGAAAAACAACAGAGTCTGCTCTGAGAAGCTAGGGTTGCGAAGCGACATGGTTACAACATTACACTACTTCAGAACACGGAATCAAGCAATATGAAAAACAAGAGAGTGTGCTCTGAGAAGCTAAGGTAGCGAAGCGAGAGGTTAAAACATGACACTACTTCAAAGCACTGAATCAAGCAATATGAAATACAAAAGAGTCTGCTCTGAGAAGCTTGGAGTGCGAAGCGAGATGTTTACAGCATGACACTACTTCAGAACACTGAATCAAGCAATATGAAAAGAAAACAGAGTCTGTTCTGAGAAGCTAGGGTTGCGAAGCGAGATGGTTACAACATGACACTACTTCAGAACACTGAATCAAGCAGTATGGAACATAACAGTGTTGAACTGAGAAGCTAGGGTTGCGAAGCGACATGGTTACAGCATGACACTAATTCAGAACACTGAATCAAGCAATATGAAGAACAACAGTGTTTGCTCTGAGAAGTTAGGTTTGCGAAGCGAGATGGTTATAATGTCACAGCAATTTAGAACACAGAATCAAGCAACTTGAAGCACAAAGCGCCTGCTCTGAGGAACTTGGAATTTGAGGCCAGATGGTTAGAACGTAACAATAATTAGAACAATGGTCCAAAGAGTATGAAATACGTACTCTCCCTGCAGTATTTCTATTGTCTCTGTTGATCTTCCCTTCCGCTTCTTGTTCCTGCGTTTCCTTTTCCGTTTCCTCTCATTTACCTCGTCATACTGAGTGAAGTCTACACTAAGTGGAAAGCTGCCTTCGGGTTCGGTACCACAAGTCCTCTGTATCAAATCTTCAGCACCTCTTACCTCACAATTTCTTGACAACACAGTACGATTCTCTTGTTTTGCAGTTACTGTAGGGTACACTGTCTCAAGCTCCTCACTGTTATCAATGATTCGTAAACAGAAAGAATTATCATGAGGCATACAGTAATCATTGTTTTCATTCTTCAGTGGTTTCAGTAAGTCGCCAGATTTTATTTCGGAATCATTAATTGAGTTTCCAAAGGGGAGAACTATCTCATTGTTGGTAAGCATGTCATAATGTTCTGACTCTATTCCGAAATCATCTATATTTGATTGTAAGTTGCCTTCTGAACTTTTAACAATTATATCTTTGTTAACTGTTTCTAAGCCAAAGATAGTCGAGTCTGATTGGGCACTCGTACCTTCAACAGCCTCAGATTTTAAGTTGCTGACGCTTCCTGATGACATGGTGTAATTATCTTCCATATGGTTAATTATTCGCTGTATTTTCTGTTGAGGACATCTGCTGTAGATCCTTGTGTCGTCAAATTCGTTGTGCAGATTCACAACTGGTCCTACAACAGACCATTTCCCGGATTATAAAAATTCTTTCCCTGCTAATACAGTTTCAGAAGGCGACATAATTGTTTCGAGTTTTCCATTAAAATTTTCAGGCTTCTTCATTGCCGACATCTGAAGTAGGAATATTCGATTCTGAAACTACGCTTTTCCCATGGGAAAGTTTATTAAATAGTTAAGCTTATTAATAAAATGTATTTGCTGATAAAGTATAAACTGGATTTTCGCAAGGAATAGATCATTATGGAAAGCAAATTTTTAAGACCATCCCTTTCTGATAATCCGAGTACTTTTCTAGGTTACTGGCACTCGGTAGTTGCTTTGCAAACGTCACAATATATTCACAAAATACAATCGGTATTGTTCTTTAATTCACTGCTCTTATCTTATTTCCATATATCCAAATTAACATGGCGTTATTGCATATTTTGATGACAGCTGAAGAGATGATCTGACCACTGTATTGATAAAGATGTCAAATCTGAAAATAAAAGAAACGTTATAAATAAAAGTTATTGAAATTAAATTCAACCTCGGGAACAAAATTAAAATAATGAAATTTTACTACATATTAATGTTCCTTGGCGCATCATTTAAAAATATACGTAACTTCCACACATTTTCATTTTTATATATAATTTCATGTAGGATATATTTACTGTTGTTATTAGTATTATTACTATCATTATTGTTAATGGCGCTGCTGTTGTATCGTTAACGAACCATTTACTCTTTAGAGAAACACAGTATCCTCACTAAATTTTCTTTATGGTTGCACAATATGCCGAAAACAAAGGTTAGCGAAGAATCTGCGAGAGTTTTCCAGAATGATGACTCGTCATTAAAAGCGTGCGGAGCTCGCGATTTCAGGGTATCTCAGAGAAGAGGCAGATGCGTTGGATCCAATCGTGAGTTTAGAAGCGTTGTACAGGACTCGAGAGTGCAGAGACGGTGCTTACTCTGAAATGCAAGTAGCGACTTGAGTGCTGATAGCCCAAGACTAGGTCACTACAGTGATGGAGCAGATAAGCCGACATCGCGATGTTAGGTGACTACTAATAAACTGAAAATAACTGCTCTAAAGCAAGATAACCGTTCATCATCATCAACAGTAATCTGTCAGACGACAGGTCCACAGTCTCTTCCAAAACAGTTCCTCCACTTAATGCGATCTAGAGCTTTCTCCTTCAAATGACAGTATCCTCTTCTGTCCCCAAGGTCATCCAGCATCCTCTTACGTCTCCTTCCTCGTCTTGTGGTCACTTCCATCCGCCCCTCTATCTTTCCTTCGATAACTTCTTTTAGAAGGCAGTTTCTGCGTAAAACATGACCAATCCAATTAGCCTTCCATTTTCTTATTTCGTATAGGATATTCCTCTGCTCACTGACTCTAATTAACACTTCTTCATTTCTCACATAATCGGTCCAACTGATCTTCTCCATCCTTCTCCAACACCACATTTCGAAACTTTCCAGATGTTTCTGATCTACTGCCCTAAGTGTCCATGTTTCAGCCCCATACAGAGCTATGCTCCAAATGTAGCATTTCACTAGTTTCTTCCTCAAATTTAAGTCCAATTTGCTGGTAAAAAGATTCTTCTTCTTGCTAAATGCAGCTTTTGCCATGGCAATCCTGGATTTAATTTCACAAGTACACCTTCCATCATCTGTTAACAAGCTACCCAAATATTTAAAACATTTCACATTCTCCAGTTGTTTTTGGTCTATCTTTATTGTGACTGGGGTTGGTTGTCTCGAAATTTTCATTACTTTTGTTTTCTCCACATTCATTTCCATGCCATAGCACCTTCCAATTTCAATTAGTCTATCAATCATGCCCTGTAGCACAGTTTCTTCCTTAGCCATTAACACAAGGTCATCTGCATATTTCACAGTTTGAATAATTTGCCCTCCTACTTTGAAGTCACCGAGCCCATCCAGAGCTTCCTTGGTAAGGCATTCGCTGTACAAGTTGAACAGAATTGGTGATAAACAGCATCCTTGTCGAACTCCTCTTCCAATCTGCACACTTCCTGTCTCCCCCCTGTCCAGTCGTACTCTAACTTTCTGATCCATGTACAATTTGCTAATCAATCTTCTTTCATGCCAATCGATACCTGTTTCTTTCAGGATCTGCATTAATTTGGTCCAGTTTACCCGGTCAAATGCCTTCTGCCAGTCTATGAAGCAAACACACAGTTCTTCATCTATCTCCAAAGTTCGTTCCGCTATAATTCTCATCATCCCAATTGCATCCCTGGTTCCATTTCCTCTTCTAAATCCAAACTGATCTTCTCCAAGTATATCCTCTATTTTCCTTTCAATTCTTCTTTTAAGTAACTTTGCTCTTATCTTTGCTGTATGTGCAATAAGGCTTATATATTATATTATAATTATTATTTGTCCATTCCTCTTTTCAACAAAAACATTTTAATTAACTAGGGAGATTTAAGGAATTCACGATCTCTTTAATTAATTTTTAATTTGACCATATGCAGTCATATTTCGCGAAGTAATATCTCAGGTCATGTAAGAGGCCTTCAACAAACGTAACACCAGCAACTATTTTCGTCTTGTAGAAAACTGTTCTATATTGTAGAGGTTAGAACCGTTTCTAGGCAACGGCTCGGTAAACTCGTTCCCGCAGAAACTAATATGCATGCAACAATAAAGGTACTCTTGAAAGGTGTTTCAAGCCTGGTCCGTGCAAAAGGGTTACAAGGAGGATAAGTGAAGCAAGAATAGTTCAGTTGGAAGGGAGCCGCCGTTCAGAGAGAACTTGATACCGAAAGCGGAAGAATAGCAATTGCTGGAAGCCGTTACCAGAAAGTGTCTAACTGATAGATATTGACTTTCATTTGGGAACGAGTAAAAATCACAGTGACAAATCTGCGGAAGCACGGGAATGCACTTCTGTGCCAGAAATTCACGAACTGACAATGCTGTGTGTGCGGACGTGTTGTGATGAAGCTTGGAGTGTTCAGTTGTCTGCAATTTCCATTCGAACTCGCATCAATCTCTCTCTCGGACGGTCCAGAATTTCAAGGAAACAGTTTGATTTACTGTGACACCAGGCGGTGCGAATTCCTTATGAACTACTCCACGAGAATAGAAAAAAGGTAACCATTTTCTTTATTTATTTTTTTTTTGCTCATGCGAGCTTTCTTCTGTCTTCGATAATGTGACGTGTGCCATTCCTCACTCTACAACTTGGCTTTAGGGTCGTACTTCAAAAACCAACTTTCGGCACCCGTTATGATTCGAGAAAGAAAGTCTGGTGCAGATTCGAGCCGTTCAAGCATTTCTGCCGACAATTCTTTTCCACCATCTTTCTGATCGTAATTCACATTTTTGGAACCATTTTTGCACACTCTTCTCACATGTTCAAATCTTCTGTAACAATTTGGTGGACCTCACATTCATTAATATTAAGTTCACCTGCGAATTCGAATTGTCAAACGTCGGTCTTGACGAATTAAACCCAGCACACGATCGACGTTTGTGCTTCGTCTCACAGAGGCGGGGCGCCGAGATCGGGGCTCATCTTCCACCCTTTCTAGCCCATGTACACAGCCTCTGCGCCACCACAATACTTTAACACGTGATACAGAATCATTATCAAACGTTTTCTGAACCTTTTCGTAAGTATCGGTAGCGCCCTTCCCCCAGCTTGAAACAAAACATGATTGCATAACGTTGCACGAGATGTTAGTTCGCCTTTTTTGTGACGCTGTAACAAAACATACATCTACACGAACTTCAACGAAAACCACATTAATTCATGATAGAAGTCCAAAAAGGTAGAGCAGCGATGTAGTTATCATCTCGTAGCGGTCTCGACGCAGCAGTGTCCCCATTTCTCGCACTACAAAATTAATGTCATTATTTTGTTAACACAATTTATGTATATATGTGGTGTGCATCTGTTGCCCTTACGTCTGGCTCGCAACACAAGGCTGCAGTAACGGAGCCACTGTAGAAGAAAATCGAGCAGACAGTTAAGCAGAAGATGCCATCAATGAAATAACTGTAAACAGTGAAAAGATGCCGGAGAAGAAACCTAGCAAGATAATTGGACAGGAATCTGCAAACTCATTGGGGCAGCTTTACCGATCATGACGTGCCTACTGATCACAGCGAGACACCGATTTCTGGCGAGAAGAGAGGTCGAAAGCGGAGAAAGTGCAGGAAGATTTTGAATGACAGCAAAAAAATAACGTGACAAGGGAAAGAACAGAGACCTAAACCTTTATTTGTATATGCTTTTGCTGTTTCAGCAATTAAAGAGAGTTGCCCTACTAACTGTTAAACCCCTGGCATATATTTTTTTGTTTAAACTCGACCAATATATGGCGAAACATTTTTCATTAACTATATTGCTGTTGAAGAAAGCAGTCTTCTGGGATTTGGCACCGTATATATGTGGTGTTAACCGACGTTTCGGAGGAACGTATCGCCTCCATCTTCAGGGTAGAAGGAAAAAATATAAGAAACGTCCGAAACGTCGGTTAACACCACATATACACGGTGCCAAATCCCAGAAGACTGCTTTCTTCATAGTCACCGCGGTGAAAGCCTCAAATCTTATATATTGCTGTTATTCTTCAATTTTGTCCATTTATAGTATTGTCACGAGTTTTATTGACTCTAAATGGGGCTTGGATTAGTAAATTGGGTTATTGAACACTCACATATCGTAACTACAAGTAACTATAACGCTGTCGCTTATTCACAAATTCTACACTGTAAAGAACGCTAAGTTTTTCCAGTCTGTCGTGTTTAACCGGTTGCCTAGTAAAGGCTTTCAACGCCGTAGCTTCTTCAGCTTGCGTGTTTCACGGATTCGCCTCCTTGCTCGCTGTCGCTTATCTCAGAACTGACTCGGCATTGTTAAGCAACGACTTAAGACAATGTTGGTTCCTCCGCCACCCACGCCTCCACCAGGGGCGAATGTCTTACAGCAACCTCAGACTGGAAATTGTCTGTTTGCCTGCACATTCTCTTCGCACCTCCCCCTAGTAGCGTTTACAGGACCGCATACAAAATAATTATACCAACGAATAAAACCGATGCTGACGCATAAGCATTCGCTACATGATCCGACGCTATTCTATAAGAAATAACATTAATACTAATCTAGTCTCGGTTTTAAACTTATACACACGAATTATACTTTGATTTTAAGCACGGATTTTAAATTAATTTTAAAACTAAAAGTTTTTGGTACGTTAGCTTTTGTTATGATCGTTGTTAAGTGGAGAGACGTAGGTCTAAGCAACGTGAAGGGGGGGGGCCTCTGTCGCATTTGTACTTCTTTACCATGTCTGAGGGTCGTGTAATGGTCCCCTAGGCGCTTCTTCATGTCGCTCCCAGTTGTTTTTGCTTTCCATACATACAGAGTTTGATTACTTGTATCTTGCGCTGTATGCGAAGGGGTCCCCTTGTTATATTGTAGAGTTCACATTCTGGCTCTATGCGTGG